CCGGTGCCGGTAGCAACAAAAACTGCGGGGGACCATGCAAAAAACGCATCTTCGCACGGGCAGCCCTGCATTGGCCAATTTTTTTTTGACTCGAATCAATATTAGGTAAATTTCTGAGCAAATCTACATGGTTCATTTTTAAGATTACAATCTTTTCTATAGCAATTCGGCGATCCTTTCCAGGGACAAATAGTCCAGCTCGAAAATACCAGTAGGTTGACGGAGCGAAAAATATTCGATCCAAATGTCGAAAACTTAGCAACGATTCCGTAAGTTCTTTGTATTTTAAGTCTTAACTCAATTTTGAGTTAATATTTCGAAAAAAACTGAGATATCTTTTGCACATCGCTGTGGGAGGCCTGTGAGAAGATTTTGCGTGCCTGTGATAGGTATGACAGGTAACAAATGTAAAGCCAAGTGTCCAGGAAACGGGGGTTTGACGGCGATTGCAGTTAAAAATGCAACTGTATTCAGCTGTGCTTATCGATAAGTCCGAATATCTCATTTTTTTTCTAAACTGAGAGAAAGGGGAAGGGGCTTGGTAAAATTTTCATGCAATTTTTTTGCAAACGTTTTTCAAACATTCTTTTTCAAAACTTCAAATATTCGCTGAAAAAAAAATGAATTTGCTAATTGAAAATAATTTTAATTTCATATGTAACAGCGAAATTTTTGGTCCGGATAATTTTTCTTTACAGCGAGAATTCCGAGTCAGCGCTACTGTTTGCTCTGCAGGAACGCTTCGAATCTAAGCGATTTTACGTGAGTTCACTGTCTCTGTTCATTTGCAAATCGCCTTGTTTTATAGGATTCCTAACGATTAGCTATTGCTGAAAAGGCTGATGATAAGCTCTTTTTTTGTTAACATTAAATCGAAATTGAACTATTGCAGCCTCTCCGAAATCCACAGACCTCAGTCCAAGCGTCTTTATGTTTCATGATTTTGTATAATTGAAATAACTGTGTGGAAGTGCTCCTCAAAAGGATTAAGACAATTGTGTTTTTGAATATTTAACTAAATTTTTGATGCCTCACTCATCTGCTCTCAGACATTCGCGGGGGACGTCCTGCTTGCGCTGAATCCTTACGATGTGTTACCAACGATTTACGATGACACTGTGCAGCGACTGTACCGACACAACAACAAAGTCAGCAGTCTGCCTGCGTTAGTAACACCTCATTTTGTTGATTTGCTTGTTCATTTTCAGTTTGTGGCCTTTTCAGATATCGACTTACCGACCGCTTAGAAAAGCTGGCCATTTTTAAGTCTTTGCTGGCCTTTTAAAAGCGTCGGTTATTTTGAGGTCTTGACCAGTGCCCATTTATTTTTTTATTCGATTTTCTTGCATTTGCTCGCTGATTAGTTACCCTCTTCAAATTTTAATGCTGACTTATACGACGAGTTTGAAGCTAGTGATAACAGAAGATTAGCCAAGACTTTAGGCTTTGACCAATAGTCCTATTGTGCCACTGAAACAGTCCTTTTCTTTTTTAGGACACGTTTCAATAGTAAACTGAAACGTGTCCTAAAAGAGAAAAGGATTTTTTGCTGTCGTAATTTATATGGCCGATAACAAACTTTTTTAAATCTGCTTCTCACGAGTAATAGAACGAAGGGTTCGGCTTATGTTAATGAGTTTTTGCTGCTGGTGAAGTGCATTTCAGGCCCTTTTCGACAGTCGGTGCTCGACAAGCAACACATGAAGTGGGGGAAGGGTTCGATTTGATTCAACCACATCACTGATTATCAAAATTACTCTTGCAGGCACGTATTCTCGGTTGCCGAGAAAGCATTGGCACGTGTGGAGAATGAGCAGTCCAAGCATGAAGCCATTTGCTTCTGGTAAATATGGCTGAATTTTCAAAATAACACAAAGTCAGGGCACTGAATTGACAGTTTTAAAGGAGTCTGTATTAGCATTGAACTGAGTGAAAGTTTTGCGAAAAAGCACTCAACTAGTGTTTTTGAGGAAAAATCTATAATTTTTTTCGTAATGAATGTTGTTGCTCGTCAACCCGATTTCTGAAAATGCAGTTCGAAGTAAGTTTTAATCGAAATGAGCATCCGA